CTGGTGGGCCAGAAGGCTAGCAGTCAAATGCCTTAGGCACGGCTTATCAGGAATAGGTGTTGGATTTTGTCAAATGCCTTTTCTGCATTCATTGATATGATCATCATGTAGTTCTTTTTCTGTTTTATTTATGTGGTGGATTACATGATTGTTTTCCAAATGTTGAACCAACCTTTCATACCTCATATGAATCCCACTTGGGCATGATTTTTTTTTTTTTTCCTGTTGTTGCATTCTATTGGCTAGGACTTCATTTCGAATTTTTGCATCTATGTTCGTGAGGGATATAGGTCTATAATTTTCTTTTTCAGTGGTGTCTTTGCCTGGCTTTGGCATCATGGTTATGCTTGCTTCATAAAATAATTCAAAGTACTATCTTCTTTCTATATTCTATAATAGCTTGAGTAGAATTAGTGTTAGCTATTCTCTGGATGTTTGGCATAATTCACAAGTGAAGCCCTCTGGGCTAGGATATTCTTGTTGGTAATTGTTTTATGACTCATTCAATTTTTTCTGTTATGGGTCTGTTCAAATATTCTACCCCAGTCTCTGTTAGTTTAGGTAGATAATATGTTTCTAGAAATATTTTCATTTCTTCTAGGACTTGAAATTGCTTGGAGTACACTTCTTTGTAGTATCCTGTTATTATCCTTTTTATTTTGGTTGGTTCTATTTTATATCACCCATTTCATTTCTTATTTATGTAATTTGTATCTTTCTCTTCATTTCCTTTGTTAAATTTGACAATTTTTTTTCAAGAACCAACTTCTAGTCTTGCTGATTCTTTCTGATGTTTTTCTGTTTCTTTTATTTCTGCTCTGATCTCCTCCAAAGGAAGATTGGGCAATCTACTTCCATAGTAATACCACCTCGGAAACCCTATGAGTCGGGTCCAACTCCACAGCACATAACAACAACAACAACAACAACAATCTTTATTGTTCTTTTTCTTCTGGTAACTGTAGGCTTATTTTGTTGCTCTTTGTTTAATTGTTGGAGATATTGGGCTAAAGTGTTGATTTTAGCTCTTCTTTCTCTTTTGATGTATGCATTTATTGCTATAAATTGTGTGCTGACCACTACTTTTACTGTGTCTCAAAGACTTTTGTATGCTATGTTTTCATTCTCATTTGATTCAAGGAATTTTTTAATTTTATGTTTTTTATTTCCATTATTACCAAGTAAGGAGCTCTAGTGGTGTAGTAGATATGGCGTTTGGCTGCTAACCAGAAGGTCAGAGGTTTAAACCCACCAATGCCTCCATGGAAGGAAATGGGGCAATTTACTTCTGTAAAGATTTACAGCCTCACAAACCTGATGAGGGTTATTCTGAGTCAGAATCAACTTGATGGCAGTGAGTTTAGTTTTGGAATTTTATTGCCAAGTAGTTTTTAAGCAGAGTGTTATTTAGTTTCCGTGTATTTGCTTGTTTTTCCCTTTCCTACCCCACCCCCCAGCTTGGTCTTCCTATTGTTGATTTCTAATTTTATGCCATTGTGATTGATAAAGATGCTTTGCAGTATTTCAATGTTTTTTAAATGTCTTGAGTCTTGCTTTGTGGCCTAACATATGGTTTGCTCTGGAGAATGTTCCATGTTCACTAGAAAAGAATGTATATTGTACTCTTGTTGGATGAAATGTTCTGAATATGTCTATCAGGTAAAGTTAGTTATTATTTAGTTCTTCTGCGTGTTTGCTGAATTCTTTCTAGTTGTTCTATCCCTGATTGAAAGTCATCTATAATTATTGTGGAGTTGTTGGTTTCTCTTTTCAATTTTGTTAAAGTCTGATTTACATATTTTGGGGCTCTTTCATTGTGTGAATGGATATTTATTATGGTTATGTCTTCTTGTTCAACTGACCCTTTAATCATTATATAATGTCCTTCCTTGTCTCCTATGCTGGTATTTACCTTAAAGTCTATTTTATCAGAAACTGATATTACCACTCCTGCTCTTTTTTGATTATCATTTGCTTGATATACTTTTTTCCAATCTTTTATTTTTAGTCAAGTTTTCTTTGTGTCTCTTATAGACAGCATATTGTTAGGTCATGGTTTCTTATCTTTTCTGCCACTTTCTCTCTCTTATTTGGTGCATTTACATTCAATGTAATTGTCAACAAGTATGAAT